ACTATCTCAAACATTTCCCTATTTTTTCCCTCCTTTTCTCTTTATTTCTTTTCTACCCCTTCCTCTTCCCCTATCTACTTTTTACCTTCTTTCATCGTTTATCTTTCTTTTCAGCCATTGCTTCATTTATTTTATTTTTTAATTTTTTAATATTCCTTTTAGCTTCCTTAAAAATCTATAAATTTCATTGATTCCTCATTTTAATTCACATAGTATAGTCTGTATATTTTTTTTGTATTTATTTTTATTCCTTTTTTCTTTCACTAATTCTTTTCTTTTTCTTACTTTTGTTTTTGCCTATTCTTTTTTGTTTTATTCCCTTGCACTTTTTCCTTCATAATTCTTTGTTCTCTTTCCTTGTATCTTTCTTTCGATCTTTACTTTGTTTTATATTCATTCAACCCCTCTTTTTTTTTTTCTTTTTTTTTTTTTTTTTGTTCGGTTTTCGATTCTCTTGTCATCTCTAGATAAAAATTCTGTCATTTGATAAAATTCTATGAAACTGTGATCTCTGGTACTTTATTCATCCAACCTTCTTCTTCATTTTTTTTTTCTTTTTTATATTTTTTTCTTTTGTCCTTTCTTCACAACATAGCCTCCTGTTTTTCTTCCGACTTCCACTATATCTTTCTTTATCTCTTTTTTAAATTCTTTTTTGGCCTTCAGCCTTCCAAACATGTTTCTTTCACTTATTCATCCACTTCTTCCCCGCTTACTTCTTTTTCTTATTCCAAAATGTCTTACTTTTCTTTTTTCGGTCCAACTCTCCCCACGTTGTATCCTTTTTATTCTTTTATTTCCTTGATTCTTTATTTCCTTCTAGCTTGTTTCTTTTGTTCTTTCTTTTCTTCTATTTTCTTTCATTGTTTTTTTCTTTCCTTTTAGCTTATTTCATTTGTTCTTTCTTTCCATCTAATTTATTACATTGGTTCTTTCTTTCCTACTAATTTATATCATTGTTTTTATTCTCATTCCTACTAATTTATTTCATTGTTTTTTTCTTTCTTTCTAGTTTATTTCCTTCTAGGTTATTTCCTTGTTTCTTTAATTCTAATTTATTTCATTGGTTCTTTTTTTCCTTCTAATTTATTTCATTAGTTCTATCTTTTTTTCTAGTTTATTTCATTGGTTCTTTCGTTCTTTCTTTCTAGTTGATTTCATTGGTTCTTTCTTTCCTTCTATTTTTTCATTGGTTCTTCTTTCATTCTAATTTATTTCATGGGTTCTTTCTTTCTCTCCTTCGAGTTTATTTCCTTCGATCTTTCTTTCCTTCTAGTTTATTTCACTGGTTCTTTTTTTCCTTCTAGTTTATTTCCTTGATTCTTTCTTTCCTTCTAGTTTATTTCCTTAGTTCTTTCTTTACTTCTAGTTTATTTCCTTGGTTCTTTCTTTCCTTCTAATGATTTCACTGGTTATTTCTTTACTTCTAGTTTATTTCTTTCGATCTTTCTTTCATTCTAGTTTATTTCACTGGTTATTTCTTTCCGTCTAATTTATTTCCTTCGTACTTTCGTTCCTTCTAGTTTATTTCCTTGGTTCTTTCTTTCCTTCTAGTTTATTTCACTGGTTGTTTCTTTCCTTCTAGTTTATTCTTCCCGTTCTTTCATTCCATCTAGTTTATTTCACTGGTCCTTTCTTTCCTTCTAGTTTATTTCCTTGGTTCTTTCTTTCCTTCTAGTTTATTTCACTGGTTCCTTTTTTCCTTCCAGTTTGTTTCTTTCATTCTTTCTTTCCTTCTAGTTTATTTCCTTGGTTCTTTCTTTCCTTCTAGTTTATTTCACTGCTTCTTTCTTTCCTTCTAGTTTATTTCCTTGTTTCTTTCTTTCCTTCTAGTTTATTTCACTGGTCCTTTCTTTCCTTCTAGTTTATTTCCTTGGTTCTTTCTTTCCTTCTAGTTTATTTCACTGGTTCCTTCTTTCCTTCCAGTTTATTTCCTTCATTCTTTCTTTCCTTCTAGTTTATTTCATTGTTTCTTTCTTTCCTTCTAGTTTATTTCACTAGTTCTTTCTTTCCTTCTAGTTTATTTCACTGGTTCTTTCTTACCTTCTAGTTTATTTCACTGGTTCCTTTCTTTCCTTCTAGTTTATTTCACTGGTTCCTTCTTTCCTTCCAGTTTATTTCTTTCATTCTTTCTTTCCTTCTAGTTTATTTCCTTGTTTCTTTCTTTCCTTCTAGTTTATTTCCTTGTTTCTTTCTTTTTTTCTAGTTTATTTATTTGGTTCTTTCTTTCCTTCTAATTTATTTCACCGGTTCCTTCTTTCTTTCTAGTTTATTTCCTTCATTCTTTCTTTCCTTCTAGTTTATTTCCTTGGTTCTTTCTTACCTTCTAGTTTATTTCACTAGTTCTTTCTTTCCTTCTAGTTTATTTCCCTGGTTCTTTCTTTCCTTCTAGTTTATTTCACTGGTCCTTTCTTTCCTTCTAGTTTATTTCCTTGGTTCTTTCTTTCCTTCTAGTTTATTTCACTGGTTCCTTCTTTCCTTCCAGTTTATTTCCTTCATTCTTTCTTTCCTTCTAGTTTATTTTTGTTTCTTTTTCTTTCCTTCTAGTTTTATTTCACTAGATTCTTTCTTTCCTTTTAGTTTATTTCACTGGTTCTTTCTTTCCTTCTAGTTTATTTCACTGGTTCCTTCTTTCTTTCTTTTATTTCTTTCATTTTTCTTTTCTAGTTTATTTCCTTGTTTCTTTCCTTCTTGTTTATTTCTTTCATTTCTTTTCTTTCCTTCTAATTTATTTATTTGGTTCTTTCTTTCCTTCTAATTTATTTCACCGGTTCCTTCTTTCTTTCCAGTTTATTTCCTTCATTCTTTCTTTCCTTGTAGTTTATTTCCTTGGTTCTTTCTTACCTTCTAGTTTATTTCCTTGTTTCTTTCTTTCCTTCTAGTTTATTTCCCTGGTTCTTTCTTTCCTTCTAGTTTATTTCACTAGTTCTTTCTTTCCTTCTAGTTTATTTATTTGGTTCTTTCTTTCCTTCTAGTTTATTTCCTTCATTCTTTCTTTTTTCTGGTTTAATTCCTTGTTTTTTTTTTTCCTTCTAGTTTATTTCCTTGGTTTACTTTTTCTTCTAGTTTTTTTTTCCTAGTTCTTTCTTTCCTTCTAGTTTATTTCCCTGGTTCTTTCTTTCCTTCTAGTTTATTTATTTGGTTCTTTCTTTCCTTCTAGTTTATTTCCTTCATTCTTTCTTTCTTTCTGGTTTAATTCCTTGGTTTTTTTTTCCTTCTAGTTTATTTCCTTGGTTCTTTCTTTCCTTCTAGTTGATTTCATTAGTTCTTTCTTTCTTTCTCACTTTTTGCTATCTTTCTATTGAGTCTACGTTCATGTTTTCTTGTAAAATAAAACTCATTCTTTTTCAGTTTCTTTATCTCCTGCTTTCCTTTATTTTTCCTTTGTTCTGTTTTAATTTTTTTTCGTTTATTCATTCATTTTGACATTTTTATGCTTTTGTTTCGTTCTTTCTTTTGTTGTATTCTTTTTTATTGTTTTTTCTTAAAATTTTGTTAGTTTCTTCATTAAAATGTTTTCTAACTACTGAAGCCTCTTAGGTCTTAGCGAAGACCATATCTCTTTAGACCTCGTGTAACGGCGCTACAAAAGAACTGTACCGAATAAAAGAAATCACATTACTTCAGGACTTTCAACAACAGCAACAATTAAAATGGATATCAAATTTAACTCGAATAGAAAATAATGATATAATAAAAATGTTGAGATTTCGCACTACTTCAAACAAAAGGTTTGGAAGGAAAGCCTCATCAATAATAGCAAGAGCCATAACAGTTAAGTAGTTTTCTTTGCTTCTTTCGATCTTTTTATCTTTGTTTTTTAATTTATTTTTTCATTAGTTTTTTCCCCCATTCTGATTTGTCACTTAATACAAAAACGTAATCATTTTTGTTATTTACTCAGGGATGATGTGTACTACCCCCAAGCAACACGATCTGGGGGAGACTAAGTATGAGTAGGAGCCCCGAACAGTGCTTTTTGACCCTTTCTATCTTATGAACACTTAATCTTTCTACGTTACATTTATATACGTTACAAATACGTTAAAAATTAAACGTTACAAGTTAAACGAAGCATAACTGATTATTAAATGATGATCAATTATCGCAGAGTTTGACGTCATTCTGGGTTCTTTTTCTTTTCGTCCAAATTTATTTTGTTTATGCTCAATCTCGAAAAACCACAATATAAAATTCATATATATAATATAAAATTCATATATATAATATAAAATTCATATATATCTATAAAATTCATATATATATATAATATAAAATTCATATATATAATATAAAAATTCATATATATATAATATAAAATTCATATATATAATATAATATATAAAATTCATATATATATATATATAATAAAATTCATATATATAATATAAAATTCATATATATATATATATAAAATTCATATATATAATATAAAATTTATATATATAATATAAAATTCATATATATTAAAAATTCATATATATATATAAAATTCATATATAATATAAAATTCATATATATATAATATAAAATTCATATATATCATATAAATATATCATATAAAATTCATATATAAATATATATTCTTTTATATATAATATAAAATTCATATATATATATAAATTCATATATATATATAATATAAATTCATATATATAATTCATATAAAATTTATATATATAATATAAAATTCATATATATATATATAAAAAAATATAATATAAAATTCATATATATATAAAATTATAATATAAAATTATATATAATATAAAATTCATATATATAATATAAAATTATATATATAATATAAAAATTCATATATATATATAAAAATTCATATATATAATATAAAATTATATATATATAAATTATATATATATAATAAAATTCATATATATAATATAAAATTATATATATAATATAAAATTCATATATATAATATAAAATTCATATATATATAATATAAAATTCATATTATATAATATAAAATTCATATATATATTCATTAAATTATATATATATATATATATAATATATAAAATTCATATATATATATAATATATAAATAAAATTATATATATATATATAAATTTTATATATATATTCATATAAAAATTATATATATATAATATAAAATTCATATATATAAAATTCATATATATAATATAAAATTCATATATATATAATATAAAATTCATATATATAATATAAAATTCATATATATATATATATATATATATATAAAATTATATATATTATATATATATATATAAAATATAAATATTCATATATATAATATAAAATTCATATATATAATATAAAATTCATATATATATAATATAAAATTCATATATATATATAAAATTCATATATATATATAAAAATTCATATATATATATAATATAAAATTCATATATATCATATAAAATTCATATATATATAAAATTATATATATATATATATCATATAAATTCATATATATATAAAATTCATATATATATAATATAAAATTATATATATATAAAATATATATAAAATTCATATATATATATTCATATATATATATAATATAATTCATATATAATATAAAATTCATATATATATATATATATAATAAAATTATATATATATATAAAATTCATATATATAATATAAAATTCTTATATATAATATAAAATTCATATATATAATATAAAATTCATATATATAATATAAAATTCATATATAATATATAATATAAAAATATATATATAAAATAAAATTATATATATAATATAATTCATATATATATAATATAAAATTCATATATATAATAAAAATTCATATATATATAATATAAAATTCATATATATATATAAATTCATATATATAATATAAAATTCATATATAATATAAAATTCATATATATAATATAAAATTCATATATATATATAAAATTCATATATATAATAAAAAATTCATATATAAAATTCATATATATATATATAATTATATATATTCTATAAATTCATATATATATATATATTTATATATAATAAAATTCATATATATAATATAAAAATTTCATAAAATATATATTTTATAAAATTATATATATATATAAAATATATATATATATAAAATTCTTTATATCGTTAATATAAAATTTATATATCATATAATATATTCGTTTTCTTCAACTTTTTTGAAAATCTTTATGCCCAAATTATTTCTTTCTGTCGCAAAACTCTTTTTTCTTAACTTTTTCTTATATGTTTTTTCAGCTTCTTCTTTATTCGTTATTTCTTTCTTCATTATTTCTTCAACTTCCTTCTTTCTGTCGCTATTATTTCAGCTTCTTTCTTCATTCGTTTTCTTCAACTTCCTTCTTTCTGTCGTTATTATTTTTCAGCAATTTCCTTTTTTTCTTTCAACTTCCTTCTTCTTTCTTCATTCGTTTTCGTTTTCTTCAACTTCCCTTCTTTCCTTCATTATTTTCAGCTTCTTTCTTCATTCGTTTCTTTCAACTTCCTTCTTTCTGTATTATTTCAGCTTCTTTCTTCATTCGTTTTCTTCAACTTCCTTCTTTCTGTCCTATATTTATTTCAGCTTCTTTCATTCGTTTTCTTCAACTTCCTTCTTTCTGTCGTTTTATTATTTCAGCTTCTTTCTTCATTCGTTTTCTTCAACTTCCTTCTTTCTGTCGCTATTATTTCAGCTTCTTTCTTCATTCGTTTTCTTCAACTTCCTTCTTTCTGTCGCTATTATTTCAGCTTCTTTCTTCATTCGTTTTCTTCAACTTCCTTCTTTCTGTCGCTATTATTTCAGCTTCTTTCTTCATTCGTTTCTTTCAGCTTCTTTCTTCTTTTCTTCATTCGTTTTTCAACTTCCTTCTTTCTGTCTATTATTTCAGCTTCTTTTCTTCATTCGTTTTTTCTTCTTCCTTCTTTCTGTCGCTATTATTTCAGCTTCTTTCTTCATTCGTTTTCTTCAACTTCCTTCTTTCTGTCGCTATTATTTTTTCTTTCTTCATTCGTTTTCTTCACTTCCTTCTTTCTTCTGTTATTATTTCAGCTTTTTCTTCATTCGTTTTTTCTTCTTCCTTCTTTCTTCACTATTATTTGTCGCTTATTTTTTCATATTATTTTCTTCTTTCTTCATTCTTTTTCATTCGTTATTTCTTCCTTCTTTTGTTTATGTATTTCAGCTTCTTTCTTCATTCGTTTTCTTCAACTTCCTTCTTTCTGTCGCTTTTTTCAGCTTCTTTCTTCATTCGTTTTTTCAACTTCCCTTCTTTCTGTCGCTATTATTTTTCTTTCTTCATTCTGTTTTCTTCAACTTCCTTCTTCTTTCTGTCGCTATTATTTCAGCTTCTTTCTTCATTCGTTTTCTTCAACTTCCTTCTTTCTGTCCCTTCTTTCTTCATTATTTCAGCTTCTTTCTTTTCATTCGTTTTCTTTTCAACTTCATTCGTTTTCTTCAACTTCCTTCTTTCTGTCGCTATTATTTCAGCTTTTTTCTTCATTCGTTTTCTTCAACTTCCTTCTTTTCTTTCTTCATTGTTTTCTTCAACTTCCTTCTTTCTGTTATTATTTCACTTCCTTCTTTCTTCATTTTCGTTTTTTTCACTTCCTTCTTTCTGTCTTTTGTCCAGCTTCTTTTCTTCATTCGTTTTCTTCTCAAACTTCTTTTCGTTTTTTATTTTTTATTATTTCAGCTTCTTTCTTCATTCTTCAACTTCTTCTTTCCTATTATTTCATTCGTTTTTCTTTTTCTTCTTTTCTTTTCTTTAATTTCTTTTCTGTCGCTTTATTTTTCTTTTTTCATTCGTTTTTTTTCCTTTTTTCTCTATTATTTCAGCTTCTTTCTTCATTCGTTTTCTTCAACTTTTTTATTCATTCAGCTTCTTTCTTCATTTTTCTTTTGTTGATTTTCTTCTTTTTTTCATTTCCTTCTTTCTTTTTATTATTTCAGCTTCTTCATTTTTTTCAATTTCCTTCGTTGCAATAATTTCTTCTTTCTTTTTATCTTTTCAGCTTCTTTTTCATTCGTTTTCTTCCTTCCTTTTCTGGCTATTATTAAAGCTTCTTTCTTCATTCGTTTTCTTGAAAAACTTCTTTCTTCATTCGTTTTCTTACTTCCTTCTTTTCTGTCGCTATTATTTGGAAACTTCCTTCTTTC